TTCAGTTTCCGGGGCTATATAGTATTTCAAAAGTAAAGGCCTCTGGAATGAGCAGGAATTTAATGCAACATTTTCTTCGACACTTGTTGTTGACATTCTTATTATTTCCCTCAGAAGTAGATGTGAGTCCTTATCAAGAACACAGCTTCCTCCAGCTGATGGGAAGCAACTTGGGAGGACTTTCTGTTGTGTCTACCTTTCTGTATTTTGAAGAAGAAGAAAGAGAGTCCCATCAATGCTGGCCTTTTATCTCTCCATCGAGGTCGTCCCCCTTTTCATGTGCTGTCTATCTGTCTGCCACCCAGGTGTGATGTTGTCAAGGCACTCAAAACCATTTTGGCATTGGAAGGAAAGTCAAGGCGGTTGCAAAATTCCAGCTAGCCCTATGATTCCACATGGTTGAAGAATTAACTAGGTCACAGCATGAGTAGGCAACTAGTGTTCCTAACCACAGGGGTGGGGAAATTAGTGCATATTTTGTCTTCTATAGTATAGTCATGTAACTCCTGAAACAAATGCAGTGTCACTAACTTTGCAAGTTACACCTTTGGTGTTAATAAGATGCAGTTACCTATGGAAGATCTCTATACAAAAATAAGCTGAATACATACAACACCACGGTTCAATTTACCATAATCATGAGGACAATTATACTCCACACAAGCATACAGTATTTCCTTGCAGGTTCATATTCTGCACAATTATGATAACTTAGCAACATTTAGCTAAGGATGATCCTGGTTTAGAAAAACAAGCCCAATCCAGTAAAGTATAGGACAGAACTATCCATCGGGCTTATACTGAAACACAAAATTGTGTTTTTTTCCCTGTGGGTTCAGTGAGGGTCATTGGCAGAGCAGAGAGAGCAGCAAATGGGAAAATTGACATCATGGTTTAATGTAGTGATTATCAGTATTGGGCTGAATACAGAGAGAAGAATGACCCTCTCTGTTTGGATGTAAAGTCTGTGCTGGGTGAGCCCAGCTGCCTGGAACTCACATGAACTTTGCTCTCCCAAATACTGTTCTCTCCACTCGTTGTTTCGAGAGAGAGAGAGAGAGAGAGAGAGAGAGAGAGAGAGAGAGAGAGAGAGAGAGAGAGATGGACAAATGATTTGACGACCCTATTGGACCCTTAATAGTCATGCCAATTCAGCACATTTGAGTGTGAACTTGAGGCAGGCAGGCAAGAAGGAAAGAAAAAAAGGAGAGAAAGAAAGAAAAGTCAGAAATGGAGTCACCTGCTATATTGTTTATTATTATTATGTATCCTGCTACCAGTCACTTTCTCCTAATCCCTGCCTACATGTGCATATCTACCTCAACTACTCCTCCAGTTCCCCTGCATACTGTAAATTTGGTACGGTCACTGACCCTGTATATAGCTTACTCTCTCCAGTTTTTTTGTGTTTTTTTTAATTTAGTTATACTATTTTTATATTGAATACTGCATTGTTAGGAAGGGCTTGCAAGTTAAGCATTTCACTGTACTTGATTGTGATAAATAAAACTTTTCAGACAAACATCAGCTAGCTGTAGGCCATTAGAGTTACTCACATGAAGGGGCATGATTAAACATGCAGGTATTTCCTCCTCTCTGTCCTGACTTATTGACTTGACACAGCCTGTGGATGTGAGCATGGGCCTATCTGTTTGGCTGTCTGTGTTTCTGCATATTTTAGTAGGAAAAAGTGGACCTTCAGAAAGTATTCACACCCCTTGAATTTTTCCAAATGTTGTTTTGTTACAGCCTGAATTTAAAATGGATTAAATTGAGATGTTGTGTCACTGGCCTACACACAACAACCATAATATCAAAGTGTAATTATGTTTTTCAAAGTTTTTACAAATTAAATAAAAATGAAAAGATGAAATGTCTTGAGTCAATAAGTATTCAACTCATTTGTTATGGCAAACCTAAATAACTTCAGGAGTATAAATATGCTTAACAAGTCACATAATAAGTTGCATGGACTCACTCTGTGTGCAATAATAGTGTTTAACTTGGTTTTTGAATGATTACCTCATCTCTGTACCCCACACATACAATTATCTGTATGGTCCCTCAGTCGAGCAGTGAATTTCAAACACAGATTCAACCACAAAGACCAGGGAGGTTTTCCAATGCCTCACAAAGAAGGGCACCTATTGGTAGATGGGTAAAAATATAATAAAAAGCAGACATTGAATATTCCTTTGAGCATGGTGAAGTTATTATTTACACTTTGGATGGTGTATCAATACACCCAGTCACTACAAAGATACAGGCATCCTTCCTAACTCAGTTGCCGGAGAGGAAGGAAACCGCTCAGGGATTTCACCATGAGGCCAATGGTGACTTAAAACAGTTACATAATTGAATGGCTGTGATAGGAGAAAACTGAGGGTGGATCAACTAAATTGTAGTTACTCCACAATACTAACATAAATGACAGAGTGAAAAGAAGGAAACCTGTACAGAATACAAATATTCCAAAAGAGGCATCCTGTTTGCAAGAAGGCACTAAATTAAACTTTATGTCCTGAATACAAAGAGTTATGTTTGGGGAAAATCCAATACAACACATCACAAAGTACCACTCTTCATATTTTCAAGCATGGTGGTGGCTGCATCATGTTATGGGTATGCTTGTCATCGGCAACGACTGGGGTGTTCCTGAGTGGCCTAGTTACAGTTTTGACTTAAATCAGCTTGAAAATCTATGGCAAGACAAGCAATGTCTGGCAATGATCAACAACCAACTTGACAGAGCTTGAAGAATTTAAAAAAGAATAACGTGCAAATATTGTACAATCCAGGACTGCAAAGCGCTTAGAGACTTACCCAGAAAGACTCACATCTGCAATCGCTGCCAAAGGGGATTCTAAAATTCAGTGGCATGCAAAAGTATTCACCCCCCTTGGCATTTTTCCTTACAACCTGTAATTAAAATAGATTTTGGGGGGTTTGTATCATTTGATTTACACAACATGCCTACCACTTTGAAGATGCAAAATATTTTTTATTGTGAAACAAACAAGAAATAAGACAAAAAAAAACAGAAAACTTGAGCGTGAATAACTATTCAAAGTAATACTTTGTAGAGCCACCTTTTGCATCAATTACAGCTGCAAGTCTCGTGGGGTATGTCTCTATAAGCTTGGCACATCTAGCCACTGGGATGCCCATTCTTCAAGGCAAAACTGCTCCAGCTCCGTCAAATTGGATGGGTTCCGCTGGTGTACAGCAATCTTTAAGTCATACCACAGATTCTCAATTGGATTGAGGTCTGTGCTTTGACTAGGCCATTCCAAGACATTTTAATAGTTCCCCTTAAACCACTTGAGTGTTGCTTTAGCAGTATGCTTAGGGTCATTGTCCTGCTGGAAGGTGAACCTCCGTCCCAGTCTCAAATCTCTGGAAGACTGAAACAGGTTTCCCTCAAGAATTTCCCTGTATTTAGCGCCATCAGTCATTCCTTCAATTCTGACCAGATTCTCAGTCCCTGCCGATGAAAAACATTGCATGTGTAATTCCCACCGTAAAGCATGGAGAAGGAGGTGTTATGGTGTGGGGGTGCTTTGCTGGTGACAGTCTGTGATTTATTTAGAATTCAAGGCACACTTAACCAGCATGGCTACCACAGCATTCTGCAGCGATACGCCAACCCATCTGGTTTGGGCTTAGTGGGACTATCATTTGTTTTTCAACAGGACAATGACCCAACACACCTCCAGGCTGTGTAAGGGCTATTTTACCAAGAAGGAGAGTGATGGAGTGCTGCATCAGATGAACTGGCCTCCACAATCACCCGACCTCAACCCAACTGAGATGGTTTGGGATGAGTCGGACCGCAGACTGAAGGAAAAGCAGCCAACAAGTGCTCCTTCAAGACTGTTGGAAAAGCATTCCAAGTGAAGCTGGTTGAGAAAATGCCAAGAGTGTGCAAAGCTGTCATCAAGGCAAAGGGTGGCTATTTGAAGAATCTCAAATATAAAATGTGTTTTGGTTTGTTTAACACTTTTTTGGTTACTACATGATTCCATATGTGTTATTTCATAGTTTTGATGTCTTCACTATTATTCTACAATGTAGAAAATAGTAAAAATAAAGAAAAACCCATGAATGAGTAGGTGTGTTCAAACTTTTGACTGGTACTGTATATACACACACACACACACATATATTTCCTGAACGTTCTTACATCTCCAAGATATAGGACAGACACTTCAAAACCTTATTCCTTATAATAGATTTTGACTCTCTTTTTTTGCCATTCATGAAAGTGTTATTCAATGCGTTTCTATGGGCTATAGTAGTAAAGGCTAAATTCAATACTATAATAAAAAAATATATACATAAAGCAGTCCTAACCCCCCAACCCCCCCCCCCCCCCCCCTCCCCCTCCAGTACATTTAAGGTGTACCATTCACTAGACTACATTCACTCTAAATTGGACCGTTGTTTGCAGGGGAAAACAGTCAATGGAGGTATAGATAAGTATGTGTGTGAGCCTGAGAGAAAAACTTGTCAGACTCATTGAAACTAACTGGGAAAGAGTGGGGCCTTCCATGAAAAACACACACTGAGGCATTTTCATGAGGGCTGTATTAATGAGGGCTGTATTAATGAGGGCTGTGTTGATGAGGGTTCAAAGGGGTTAAAACAACAGCCGCTCTTACTCCCGGCACTGAAACGGAAAAAGACCCCACAAAGCTTCATATACTCCATAGGCTCCATCTCAGGACCCTGCTTATACCAGCCTTGCAAAACAGACACAGTGCTTTGGCTCATGTTTCATTGGCACCGACTCTATTTCTGTCCTTGATTTGACTGACACTTAAGGCTGATGATGTAATCGTTCAAAGACCAGAGAGGGGGTGGCCTACTGTATATGTTATGCTAATTTGTTTCTGGGTCCAAGTCTGATGTATTTCAAGTAAAAGTTGTTAAAAAAATCATTTAATTTTTTTTTTTTATCAACATGAAATAATATACAAATAAATATAAACAATGAAATTGACTAACATCCTAAGCGGTACAAATGAAACACTTTGTATAATATCAAAATAATTTCTAACTAACGTCCTTTTCTTATGGCAGGTTAGACAGATGTTAAACCATCAAATAGTAGTAGGCTACTGTAAAGTGAAGTCAGAGGAGCACTACATACAATGGTACATGAATAAGGCCCAAAGAAATGCTAAAGATGATTGTTTACTGTATTAGAGTTATACTGTAGATGAGTAACGTTAGATATTAAAATAACAAAGTAACAATACAACCGAAAGACTACAGTAAGACTGTTATTGAATACAGAACTGTAGCCACTTTGTATAATGAATGCTAAGAGTAATGTTTCAGCTTGAAGCTTGAGAATTCAGAGCTTGTTACTTAAAGGGATACTGTGAGATTCTGGCTTGATACCAAATCAGCCCAATACAGTATGTCCTGTTGGAGTGAAAACCCTCGAGACCCTGGTAGTTCTTCCACTGGCAAATATTTTGATTTGAGGAATGGAAGTTGTTTCTTTGGCTTTTGGAAAGTGAACTTTAAAAAATAAAACTGCCTTGGTCTTTGCGGAATATCAAATTCCATGTCCATATCTACAGTACTACGTCCTTATCTTAGTACAAGATAAGGAGACACAAACGGAGCACCTCAACTGTGTGTCAGACTTCAAGAGAAAATCTCTTCTCTAGGCTGGAATTCAAATTGTGGGTTTCAAACAACATAGTGATCTATCTAGACCACATTATACTACATGTTAAATAATACAATCAGTTAACTGGGTGAAACAAAACTCATCCCTTCAAATTAAACAGGAGCTACGTGGTTTCCACAGTGCTGGTTTGATTGAATTTCTCAATTTTCTCTCCTTTTCCAAACCCTGTGATGTCATACGTTCATGGTCACCACTTTGATGCCGTGGGCATTGATGTATGTGAGGAGAACCTGGGCCCGTCTCTCGATGACGTCGATGAGCTTCTCGATCCCATGCCGCCCTCCCTGGCTCTCCCAGTACAGCTGATCCAGGAACAGTGACTGGAGGAGCCTCTCCCTCAGCCTCTGGCTCATCAACACGGTCACCGCCTGTTCTGGGAGCCTAGGTGGAGAAGAAGTTGGTAACACTTAATTTACTTGGATAGTTGGTAACAATTTAGGTGGAAAGTTGGCAACACTTTATTTGGCTAGTTGGTAGCACTTTATTTGGATAGTCAGTAACTGTTTAACAATCTATGACCACAACTGTTTGATCCATATGCATATACTGTACATTTAAATGCAAATGCAAAGAAATAATGTATTCCTTAAAAAAGATGTACTCACAAAATACATTAATTCTACAATAGCATAATGTAATTCAAGGTAATATAATATAATTCTGCACATGCCTAGAGTACATTATCCAGGCCAGGCTTTCTAATCTTTAACTACTGTGAAATCCAGTTGAAAGGCCTCTACTTTGAAGAAGATCACTACAAGTCATGTAAGAGGAGAGATGACAACTGTCAGTGCCATAACAAAGTCCCCCCGCTAGGTCCTCCCAGTGGTTTGTTCCACTGATTTATTCATCACAAGATGAAGATGAAACACAGGGAGTGTCCCTGGGTGTGTCACCATGCCTATAGGTGGGTATAATATACTTCATAACACATGCATGCACTCTGCGATTACGTGTTAGAATGCAGTATTTTCCCACAGTGTGAAGTCAACAGAGAGGAATCTCTAGACTAAGAGCTGAATCAACTACAAATTGTATGCAGGGGGTACATTGTAGATAGTTGCTGATTGAAAGGTGAGAATAAAAAATGCTGCACACTGTACAGTAATATTTCTGTAAGATAATACAGTCATATTGCAAAGACCATAGTATTATTCAGAAGAATCACTGTATTATCCGACTAATGATCAATTCACTATGCTGTCTACATATTTCGGCGTTTACCCACTCCTTGATTCCCTCCAGTAGTCTGTAGTCCAAGTTGTCCTCGTCGCGGTCGAAAAAGCCCTTGTTGTCAGCGAAGACCAAGTGCCTGGGGTCGTGACTCCTGTGGAAGATGTTGGCCAGTGCCACACTGTCCATATCCCCACATTCCAGGTGGTGGCCCTGCTCCACACAGTCGTCCTCCTGACGAGGCCTGAACCCACAGCAGTTCCGGTCTAGTCGGCTGTATATCTGAAGAGGAGGTAGACAAACAGGATTCACTTAAGCTATTATCTCAAAGGAGTGATGTCCTATGCTATTGCCAAGTATCTCCTAGTTTGACAAGCTTCCTTCTCAAGAAATCTAACACAGTAGTTAATTTGAAAGACCAGACACGTGTGATCGTACAGTACCTGCAACAGGAAATCAAACAGGGCTAGTTTGCTCCACTCATAATGGTGAATGCTGGAGCAGCCCGAGTTAGGCTTGGGCGTGACGTTCCTGTGCCAACACCTCCGTTTGAGGGAGCTCTGGTACTCCCCCCATGTCATCCTCACAGTGGACTGGCCCTCTGCATTGTCCCCTGGAGAGAGGGAACCATCCCACAGCACCACGGGGCAGGGCTGGCCATCTGTGAGATGAGGGGGATCCAGAGGTAATGTTAGTGTGACCGACCAGGCTTCGAACCCGAGTCGTATGTGCAACCCAAGTCAGTGTTGGCTCTTTAAGCTAACTCTAGACTCTAGCAAAAGAGAATCTTCACATCTCAGACAAGGTTAGTCATCTCACATGCGTAGTTCACTGATTCACCACTGCTACACTAGCATTAGCGTACAACACTGAGGAGGAGGAAGACGAAGGCTCATGAGTGTATTCCTGTTGAGGAGGTTACAGACACCACAAAAACGTATGAGGGCTACAGATATAATTCAGGTCAAGGGCGGCTGTACAAAGAACGTCAGCTGATGCCCAAACATAGCCAGTGCAAGGCTATGATTAAAGATCCTACTCTTTGAGGATTGATATCATGGTGTTATGCATTTGCACCTCTGTTTCTGTGTACTCAATCTCTCCCACAGACTTATGAGGACAGCTGCATGCGCTACTGGCTAAAGGAGCTAGCCCTCGCAGGCTTCATAGCACCAGGGCTGATACTTCTGCTCACAAATATGCTTGGTCGTATAATATTACATTGGCTACAACATTCCTGGAATGCTGATTTGGGAAAAGATAGATGTGACGTAGCCTACATGCTATTAAAATGTCACCTTAACATTGATGTGTAAATCAGTTTAATGACCAAATTCAACCGTTCAGGGGCCAAACCCACAGATCCCATATCTGCAGTCATGGGTGCCAAACTCTCCCGTGCACCTGGGACAATAGATCCCAACGAGTTCCCGCCCAACAGGTGGATGATGTCCAGAAACCAGAGTTGTCTGGGCCAACGTTGAGCCACCAAAATCAACAACAGACCCTCCTGACGGACCCTCTCCACGGTGGCCTGAATCAGGTCCATCGGAGGAAACTCATAGAGCAGGCTCTGAGGCCACTGATACACCAAAGCTTTCGTTCCCAACGGAGTGCACAGATCCCTCATTAAGAAGAACAGACGACAATGCACGTTTTCTCCGTAGAGATAGGACCCCCCCCGGAAAGTAGATCCGCACCCACATTGAGAGATCTGGGAAGATACAGTACGTCACCCTGAGTGACAGGAAATGCGCACTGCTCCATACGAGCAGATAACGGGCCAGGTTTAGGAAAGAGCGAGACCACGTCCCCCCCTGCCTGTTGATGTACGCTACCGCTGTCCTATTTTCGGACCTTACCAACACATGCTGGCCCTCCAACATCGGAAGGAAACACCTCAGTGCAAGCAACAGTCAGTTGCTCTAGGTAATTGACATGCATCGCCCTTTGCGCTGTTGACCAAATCCCTCTTTCGGAGTAGCTATAGAGGCCATTAGACCCAATAACTGCAGGCACAAGCAAAAAGGCACAGAGTGCTCCAGCTGAAACCATGCCAGACAGACTCTGAATGCGACCCTCCTCTGTTGGGAAAAAAGCACATGATTCAGAACCGAGTCCAGAACGAGACCCAGAAACTGAATGCGCTGAGCTGGAGCCAAAAATAAATTTTCTTGTGTTTCACTATGAACTACAGAGACTGAATATGCGAAACCAGCGTGGCAGTGTGTAGCTCCACCTGTTCCCTCGACTCCGCTATGACTAGCCAATTGTCCAGATAGGCCAATACTCTGATCCCCTGCACCACACAGGTTCCAAAGCCGCCTCCACCACCATAGAAAAGGGGAGAGCCCGAAAGGCAGGACCAGAAACTCGTAGGCCACACCCTCTAAATGAAACCTCCAAAACTTTCTGTGGGGAGGATGTATAGCCACAAAATACGCATTCCTTCAGATCTATGGATGTGAACCAATCGCTGGGACGCACCGACTGCAATAGCCGGCAAAGTCTGAGCATTTTGAACTTGCAAACCTGGAGGTGCTTGTTTAAAACATGCAAGTCCAGGATGGGAGGCAACGTTCCATCACTCTTGGGAACTAAGAAGTACCGGCTGTACTTCTGACACGGGGACAACCCGAATAGCCTGCTTTTGAAGGAGAGAGGAAATCTCCTCTCTCAAGACAGACGCTAGCACCTCGGGACCATTGACGTAATGACGCCACGAAAAGGAGGAGGACGCACAGCGAATTGCAGACCATACCCCCTCGTCACAGTCCTCATCACCCACGCCGAGAACCTCTGAAACCGGCTTCCCCAGCTCCACGGTATTATTCAGCTCCTGCAGCAAATAAATATGATACATCTGCAGCATTATGACCACATTCAACAACCGGGCCACCACAACCTCAGCCTGGTACACTTTGTACTGCTGATCCACCGAAAAACAGGCACTGTTTATTCAGAAGCGCCGGGCTAGGATTAGCCCTCTTATTAGCCTCTGGAGATAAGTAACTCGCTAACTTTCCAGCCATCGGCAGTGTGCAAACGAGCTCCACCTCCTCCATACCTTCTACATTCATGGTAGCACCAGCCTGGCTGAATGAGGGGAATCCCATGTTGCCTTTAGCTCATTGACAAAATCTTTAAACAGGGGTAAGTGACGCTTCACTGCTGCAGGGACAGAAGGTAAAACAATCTATCACAAGACATCTAGTGGCCCTTTTGGGTACTTCAGATTATCACAAGTGTCTGTAATCATCTCTGGTCCTCTCACTAGCCTTATCAGATGTAAATTATATGAAATAATTAAATAAGATGATTAAAAAAAAAAAATGACAAAGCTGTAAATCATTATCCTAAATATAAACCTTCAAGTTGGTGAATACCATTGGTGTTAAATATGAGGGTTTTAGCATGAAATATCCTTTATATATGTTTTACACACATGTACTTATTTTACTATGTCAATATTTATTTGTTGTCATGTTTTGACTTCAAACTGGTGGCGGCTGTGAACACAGTCAATAGTTGGAAGAGTTGCAGAGTTAATTGGAAAATCATGCCATTGTTGATTAGATGCTTTTTTCAATAATTAGGCTATTTTCTCTTGAACCATATGGTCTATCTACAACAAACCCATGGCCAATAAGGACACAGATATAATAAAGGAATACTATACATGAATACTTGTTTTGTTGTTATTCAAGTATAAATTACCAAAATTGCAATAGATTCTGTTAATTACCAAAATTACTGATGATGACGGTAACTTTGGGAAATTACCGTTAGCTTTTCAACCCTAGTCGGTGGACAATGGGCCTACCTTGTACAAACGGAAACTTCCTGCTGACAGCCGGCACGCTTCGGTTCAGTCCCAAGACCCTATCCAAATGGAAAGCGAAAACCTCGCTCGTGTCTACGGGACTTTTGATAACTCCACATTGTCCTATACACACTTTATGGTCCTTGACATCGTTATGTTTGTCAGAATGGATCAAGGACAAATGTGATGTGCTTTCAAACAGCAAGAGGGGGATGGATTCCTTATGGGACACTTCATGAATGCGCGAAATTTTACAATCAGCAAGAAAGCGCATGGCACTAATGTCCTCTTTGCTGAACCACGGCGGTGCCCTCTCACTGTATATTCGGATCGAACTGACGTGAGGTTCTGTTTGCATCTTTAAATTCGAGCTTACACCCCGTGTTGCATGATTTATGGTGTTAATTTGTTTCCAAGATATATCGATTCCGTTAATGTGCTTTTGTCTCCATTCCTCCCTCTTCAATGTGCCAAATTTATTTTGCGTAAATCCCTCATTGGGTTTGGTTCTCCTGGCTTTTCGCCTTAGTTTCGGTCTAAATGTTCCCCTTATAATAGCTGGTTTAATGCGCCTTGACTTTAGTGTTATGTACACCACATTGGACCGCGTTGGAACCACCGAGGATAATAAAGAGTCGTCGTTGGCACCGGTTGGTGAGTCGGCTGTTTCTGACGGGCTATCATCATCGAACCTCAGAGTGTATAGTCCCCGACTCTTCTTGTACTGGTGTCTGTCCAACCGTCTATCCTGGTGCAGCAACGAATGTCCAACCTGGGAAACCACGAAAAACAAGTACACACAACATGCACCCACAATTATCAAATTCCTTTTCGACGGGGGATACCTCCGAACGCAGTTAGATATCCTCAGAAAATACGAACACGACCAAAGAATGAGAGACTTTTTGATGTCTCCAGGACGTATTAACGTCTCCATTAGAACGTATGATCCGACATGGTTAGGCTATCTGTTTGTCTTTGCCTGGAGCTCAAATAAGGATAAGGACGGCGGCCGCGCAGCCGGCGCATAACTTCCGAAAGTAATCTTCGACAGGAAAAAAAGTGATGTCCAAAATCAGAACGCGATGAGAGGGGCTGTGGTAATCCTTGTTTAGGTCAATGTGTCATCGCAACAGTGGAAGGGTGGCTTTGTTGCCATAGAGAATTAATAGGGACAACTGTCAAAACAGATGGATCAGCTGAGATAACATAATCATATCAGGACATTAATAAATGAAGGCTATAGCCCCCTCTGTCATACATGTATGACAATAATAGCCCAAACAATCCATATCACCTATTTTCACCCAAATTAATAGCATATAATATTGCATTGGTCAGTGGTTGGAATATGTTTAAAAGTAACATCCCTCAGGCGACATCTGCTGGTGTAGTTTTACACAGCGATGTGATAAAGTGTGTGTGTGTGCCTGTTTGTCTGTCTGGTCTAGCCTATTGTATAGTTTGTGGAAAAACTGTTGAACCTGGTCAGTGGTACTAGGATGACGAAATAAAAGGGCAGAAATACCTTCACTATTGTGATGCCAGCGCTGCTGAACAATAAGACAGAAGGGAAAAGGAAACATTACTTGGGATGTGCAAAGTAGGGCAGAATGTCAAAACAGGAAACAGTCCGGCAGCATCATCCCACCTGCCAGGAAGTGTTGGTCTGAGCAGATTAGATCTACTTAAGTGATGTAGGCTAGCACTAGCAACAATCCCTGTGACCAAGCAGGATTTCCTGTAGTCGAGCGTTTGTAAGTGTTAAAAGGTATATCAATCATCTTGATAAAATATGCAAAATAACGCTGACTGGATTTTTCTGACCCTAACCACACAAGGGAGCCAGGCCCTGTATTCATAAAGAATAGGAGTGCTGATCTAGGCTCAGGTCCCCTCCTGTCCATGTAATCTTATTCATTATTATCTAAAAGGCCAATCCAATCCTAGATCAGCAGTCCTACTCTGAGATGCGTTATGTAAACAGGCCCTGATCAAGCTGGGCAGAGAGAACTGGCCTTAGATCAGTGGTTAGAACAGGAGTTGGACCTGTTGGCGTGCAGAGGTGTAAGTAAAGTAATAAGTAAACAACTATGTCTCAAGTAGGCTAAAGTAAGAATGTCAAGTCATCAAGTTAATTGTTTTACTATGTATAGGGCTACTGTTTTAAATCAATCAAGCTTCAACAAATGTTCATAGAAAGCAGATACACTAAGTGGAAATGAGTTGACCCAAATCTAAATTAGCTGACCCCTATTGGTAAGAGAGGAGAACATTTAAATTTACATCATTTAGCAGACGCTCTTATCCAGAGCGACTTACAAATTGGTGCATTCAACTTATGATAGCCAATGGGACAACCACCTTTTAATTTTATTTATGGGGGGTGGGGGAAGAAGGATTACTTTATACTATTCCAGGTATTCCTTAAAGAGGTAGGGTTTCAAGTGTCTCCGGAAGGTGGTCAGTGACTCCGCTGTCCTGGCGTCGTGGGGGAGCTTGTTCCACCATTGGGGTGTCAGAGCAGCAAATAGCTTTGACTGGGCTGAGCGGGAACTGTGCTTCCGTAGAGGTAGGGGAGCTAGCAGGCCAGAGGTGGATGAACGTAGTGCCCTCGTTTGGGTGTAGGGTCTGATCAGAGCCTGAAGGTAAGGAGGTGCTGTTCCCCTCACAGCTCCGTAGGCAAGCACCATGGTCTTGTAGTAGATGCGAGCCTCAACTGGAAGCCAGTGGAGTGTGCGGAGGAGCGGAGTGACATGAGAGAACTTGGGAAGGTTGAACACCAGACGGGCTGCAGCGTTCTGGATAAGTTGAAGGGGTTTAATGGCACAGGCAGGGAGCCCAGCCAACAGCGAGTTGCAGTAATCCAGACGGGAGATGACAAGTGCCTGGATTAGGACCTGTGCCGCTTTCTGTTTAAGGTAGGGTCGTACTCTGCAAATATTGTAGAGCATGAACCTGCAGGATCGGGTCACCGCTTTGATGTTAGCGGAGAACGACAGGGTATTATCCAGGGTCACGCCAAGGTTCTTTGCACTCTGGGAGGAGGACACAATAGAGTTGTCAACCGTGATGGCGAGATCATGGAGCGGGCAGTCCTTCCCCGGGAGGAAGAGCAGCTCTGTCTTGCCGAGGTTCAGCTTGAGGTGGTTATCCGACATCCACACTGATATGTCTGCCAGACATGCAGAGATGCGATTCGCCACCTGGTTATCAGAAGGGGGAAAGGAGAATATTAATTGTGTGTCGTCTGCGTAGCAATGATAGGAGAGACCATGTGAGGATATGACAGAGCCAAGTGACTTGGTGTATAGAGAGAATAGGAGAGGGCCTAGAACTGAGCCCTGGGGGACACCAGTGGTGAGAGCACGTGGTGTGGAGACAGATCCTCGCCACGCCACCTGGTAGGAGCGACCGGTCAGGTAGGACGCAATCCAAGAGTGAGCAGCGCCGGAGATGCTCAACTCGGAGAGGGTGTAGAGGAGGATCTGATGGTTCAAAGGCAGCGGATAGGTCTAGAAGGATAAGGTCAGAGGAGAGAGAGTTAGCTTTAGCAGTGCGGAGAGCCTCCGTGACACAGAGAAGAGCAGTCTCAGTTGAATGACCAGTCTTGAAACCTGACTGGTTTGGATCAAGAAGGTCATTCTGAGAGAGATAGCAGGAGAGTTGGCTAGAGATGGCACGCTCAAGAGTTTTGGAGAGAAAAGAAAGAAGGGATACTGGTCTGTAGTTGTTGACATCGGAGGGATCGAGTGTAGGTTTTTTGAGGAGGGGTGCAACTCTCGCTCTCTTGAAGACGGAAGGGACATGGCCAGCGGTCAAGGATGAGTTGATGAGCGAGGTGAGGTAAGGGAGAAGGTCTCCGGAAATGGTCATTCAAATTTTACAGTGCAAGAAGTTTTTTTTTTTTTTTTTTTTATTGCACCCACAGTAGCGTCCACCAATTGACTTCTGCTTGAATGAGATGCCATGGGAAAATTATGATTGATGATCTTAGAAATTATATTCTCAAAGGAAAGGAAAACTTATTTTTTAGGAACAGACAGTAGAAGTATTAGTAGTTGTGTTATAATATTAGGCCTGGAATGGCCTAAAAACTTGAATTTAAATCGCATGCAATTTAATTAAAATCTATATACATTTAATTTAAATTCAATGTCATGCTACATGGTCTATGATTTATAGATTTAGCAAGGATAAAAATATTTGACAGAAGAGAAAAAATAACATATTGTTTGTGCATGCCAAAATATTGTTTGCAGCAGTAAAGTTATGCCCAGCAGCCTAATTGATTGCATAATTTGTGTCAGCTGTTGCAGCATCAGTCCCTGTTGTGGAACGGCATGTATTTCAGTTAACACATCTGCGCAACTTTTAACACCGGTTATTAGGCATATCGTTGATAGTTGCAAAAATGCTAGATGTAAACATGCTTAAACTTTTTTTATTGGTTGCTGTCACAATGTGGTCTCTGGGAAGTTGCTCCGAAGCAGAGAATGTTCAACAAGGTAGGCTATGTACACACCATACACCTACGCGCTAGCGAACAGATGCCTGACATGATAAAATCAACAATGGATATTGCTTAATGTCCACTGACATTATCACTAGCTATGTTTCCATACACTTGTTCAGTGATTTTATTATTATTTTGTCAACGTTTAGAAAATTTGCTTAGAACATACAGTACCAGTCAAAAGTTTGGACACACCTACTCATTCCAGGGTTTTTCTTTATTTTTACTATGTTCTACATTGTATAATAATAGTGAAGACATCAAAACTATGAAATAACACATATGGAATCATGTAGTAACCAAAAAAGTGTTGAACAAATCAAAATATATTTTATATTTGAGATTCTTCAAATAGCCACCCTTTGCCTTAATGACAGCTTTGCACACTCTTGGCATTATCTCAACCAGCTTCATGAGGTAGTCACCTGGAATGCATTTGAGCCAATCAGTTGTGTTGTCACAAGGTAGGGGTGGTATACAGAAGATAGCCCTATTTGGTAAAAGACCAGGTTCATATTATGGCAAGAACGGCTCAAATAAGCAAAGAGAAACGACAGTCCATCGTTACTTTAAGACAAGAAGGTCAGTCAATACGGAACATTTCAAGAACATTTAAAGTTCCTTCAAATGCAGTCGCAAAAGCCATCAAGCGCTGTGATGAAACTGGCACTCATGAGGACCTCCACAGGAATGGAAGACCCAGAGTTACCTCTGCTGCAGAGGATTAGTTCATTACAGTTACCAGCCTCAGAAATTGCAGCCCAAATAAATGCTTCACAGAGTTCAAGTAACAGACACATCTCAATATCAACTGTTCAGAGGAGACTGTGTGAATCAGGCCTTCATGGTCGAATTGCTGCAAAGAAACCACTACTAAAGGACACCAATAAGAAGAGGAGACTTGCTTGGGCCAAGAAACACGAGCAATGAACATTAGACTGGTGGAAATTTATCGTTTGGTCTGGAGTCCAAATTGGAGATTTTGGGTTCCAACCGCCGTGGCTTTGTGAGATGCTGTGTGGGTGAACGGATGATCTCCGCATGTGTATTTCCCACTGTAAAGCATGGAGGAGGAGGTGTTATGGTGTGGGGGTGCTTTGCTGGTGACACTGTGATATATTTTGAATTCAAGGCACACTTAACCAGCATGGCTACCACAGCATTCGGCAGAGATATGCCATCCCATCTGGTTTGGGCTTAGTGGGACTATCATTTGTTTTTCAACAGGACAACGACCCAACACAACTCCAGGCTGTGTAAGCGCTATTTTACCAAGAAGGAGAGTGATGGAGTGCTGCATCAGATGACCTGGCCTCCACAATCCCCCGACCTCAACCAAATTGAGATGGTTTGGGATGAGTCGGACCACAGAGTGAAGGAAAAGCAGCCAACAAGTGCTCAGCATTTGTGGGAACTCCTTCAAGACTGTTGGAAAAGCATTCCAGGTGAAGCTGGTTGAGAGAATTCCAAGCGTGTGCAAAGCTGTCATCAAGGCAAAGGGTGGCTATTTGATTTGTTTAACCCTTTTTTGGTTACTACATGATTCCATATGTGTTATTTCATAGTTTTGATGTCTTCGCTATTATTCTACAATGTAGAAAATAGTGACAATAAAGAAAAACCCTTGAATGAGTAGGTGTGTCCAAACGTTTGACTGGTACTGTAGATGCAACTATTGCCTGTGCATTTCCATTCAAATTTTGACTCTTTTGTCGATGAAAACAGCTGGACGTAATGACGTCACTCAACAACAAAAAACTACAGTGTTGAACAAAAATGTAGTCGTTGATGTGTTTCCATTACCCATTTAGGCAAATTGCACATTAGTAAATTGGTGACAGCCTGTATGTCCTCCCACCTATGTTTCATGTCTCAGGTAGCCCACGAAAGCCAGCATGGCTAGAATGCAATAATTGACTAATATTTGCCTTATTCTAATAATTCTCATGTGCCAATGTATTGCCAAGGTCTGTGCCATGGTGGAACTTGCAATCCTGTAGATCTTAAATAATTAAATGGTGGAACTTGCCAGCCAACCAGAAAAAAAAGGTGAAGCAATTCAGGCATTCTTGAAATTCAGGACAATCCGCAAATAAACATTATTTTTATAGTTCAAAAAATTGATTTTACAATACGTAGGCATTTAGAATTAATTGTGGAGTGGAGCTTTATAGTTACGCGGTAACATCACGTACCCCGCGTACATTCAAAATGATTCGGCAATCATCATTTATTTCGAAAAACACAATTTCCGTCATTTGTCGCAATAAAGTTAGACAGCAGAAAAATTAACCCCTGTCAAACAGATCAAAATGTTGTAGATCTTTAGAAAATGTGTCCAATATCTGCCATTTCCATTACAATTTTTTTTACGACATTGTTTTTGTTGAACAAACCTGGGTCAATGGAAACCTGTCTATTGACTGCAGTGCATGCATGTTGAAGAAAATGTAGTGCATGCATCTTGAAGAAAATGTAGTGCTGGCTGCTTGAACAATCTTCCACACTAATAGTTTGCACATGTTTATTTCATGTTACTTTATGCAGCCAAAGGCTCATGAGTTAAATTAATTCATCACATTTTATATTTATAACAAATAGGCCTACAAAGTGTGATTACCATACTAAAACAAACTGTTAAAAACCAGCCTACAATGGTAAACTACTAATTTAACTGAAGTAGTTTGTTTACTATACATTATCAATCAATATTTTTGTCAAGGGATATTACTGAAGTACTTGACATGGATAAAATAGCTTTTGACTAAATTCAATACAATTCTTCAGAAAATGGACATTGAAGCAACAAGAACATTACCCTTACTCAACTCATCAAACATGACTGAAATGGCCTATGGCTCCGGTGCAAACATTATTGATGTGCTCTTGTATGGCAGCAACTTTGTCCCTGTCAAAAGGATAGACACTGGCGATGGTATGAAATCCAGATTTTTTTCTTGTAATTCTTTAAAATTCATGTTATGTTCTTTCGTTTGACCATCTTGTAAGAGTTAAAATGTATTTTTAAAATTATTTCAGGTATGTTTTTTTCAGTGGGTAAACTGTGCATCCATATGGGTTGTTTCTATGATCGGCGACTTGAAACTCAACTCTCCTAAATTCCATCCGTTGGCAATGCTGGGAGGAGCAATCTGGGCCACAGGTACGACTCCAACTTTTTAAGCTGCACCAAACCTGCACACAGATATCAAATGGATTGGGCCTACACTCTGAACTACTGAAATGTTTTCATCAATGTTGTCCCCATAGTAAAAGCCATTGGATTTGGACTTGGAATTTCTATTTGGGGATCCAGCAGTTTGCATATAGGCTGGGCAAGTTCAAGGTAAGTTAATTGCAGGACTTTCACATAATAATCATATTTTCAATAAGTCATCGTACAGGTTACTGCCAAAATAAAGGAAACACTTGAGTGAATGAAGGATACATATTGAAAGCAGGTGCTTCCACACAGGTGTGGTTCCTGAGTTGATTAAGCAATTAACATCCCATCATACTTAGGGTCATGTATAAAAATGGCCAGTTGCCTATTATTTTGGCTACCATGGCTAGAAGAGATCTCATTGAATTTGAAAGAGGTGCATAGGGGGTTTAAATGGTGTGTGTATGTGTTTCTCAGTCACAAGATCTCAAACCAATTGAACACTTATGGCCGATTCTGGAGGGGCGCCTGAGACAGCGTTTTCGACCACCATCAACAGAACACTAAATTATGGTATTTCTTGTGGAAGACTGGTGTTGCATCCCTCCAACGTAGTTCCAGACACTTATAGAATCTATGCCAAGGCGTATTGAAGTTGTTCTGGTTTGTGGTGGCCCAACGCCCTATTAAGACACTTTATTTTGGTGTTTCTTTTATTTTGGCAATTACATGTACAGTGAGGGAAAAAAGTATTTGATCCCCTGCTGATTTTGTACGTTTGCCCACTGACAAAGACATGATCAGTCTATAATTTTAATGGTAGGTTTATTTGAACAGTAAGAGACAGAATAACAACAACAAAATCCAGAAAAACGCATGTCAAAAATGTTATAAATTGATTTGCAATTTAATGAGGGAAATAAGCATTTGACCCCCTCTCAATCAGAAAGATTTCTGGATCCCAGGTGTCTTTTATACAGGTAACGAGCTGAGATTAGGAGCACACTCTTAGAGGGAGTGCTCCTAATCTCAGTTTGTTACCTGTATAAAAGACACCTGTCCACAGAAGCAATCAATCAATCAGATTCCAAACTCTCCACCATGGCCAAGACCAAAGAGCTCTCCAAGGATATCAGGGACAAGATTGTAGACCTACACAAGGCTGGAATGGGCTACAAGACCATCGCCAAGCAGCTTGGTGAGAAGGTAAAAACAGTTGGCAATTCGCAAATGGAAGAAACACAAAATAACTGTCAATCTCCCTCGGCCTGGGGCTCCATGCAAGATCTCACCTCGTGGAGTTGCAATGATCATGAGAACGGTGTGGAATCAGCCCAGAACTACACGGGAGGATCTTCTCAATGATCTCAAGGCAGCTGAGACCAAAGTCACCAAGAAAACAATTGGTAATACACTACGCCGTGGAGGACTGAAATCCTGCAGCGCCCGCAAGGTCCCCCTGCTCAAGAAAGCACATATACAGGGCCGTCTGAAGTTTGCTAATGAACATCTGAATGATTCAGAGGAGAACTGGGTGAAAGTGTTGTGGTCAGATGAGACCAAAATCGAGCTCTTTTGCATCAACTCAACTCGCCGTGTTTGGAGGAGGAGGAATGCTGCATATGACCCCAAGAACACCATCCCCACCGTCAAACATGGAGGTGGAAACATTATGCTTTGGGGGTGTTTTTCTGCTAAGGGGACAGGATAACTTCACCGCATCAAAGGGACGATGGACGGGGCCATGTACCGTCAAATCTTGGGTGAGAACCTCCTTCCCTCAGCCAGGGCATTGAAAATGGGTCGTGGGTGGGTATTCCAGCATGACAATGACCCAAAACACACGGCCAAGGCAACAAAGGAGTGGCTCAAGAAGAAGCACATTAAGGTCCTGGAGTGGCCTAGCCAGTCTCTAGACCTTAATCCCATAGAAAATCTGTGGAGGAAGCTGAAGGTTCAAGTTGCCAAACGTCAGCCTCGAAACCTTAATGACTTGGAGAAGATCTGCAAAGAGGAGTGGGACAAAATCCCTCCTGAGATGTGTACAAACCTGGTGGCCAACTACAAGAAACGTCTGACCTCTGTGATTGCCAACAAGGGTTTTGCCACCAAGTACTAAATCATGTTTTGCAGAGGGGTCAAATACTTATTTCCCTCATTAAAATGCAAATCAATTTATAACATTTTTGACATGCGTTTTTCTGGATTTTTTTGTTGTTATTCTGTCTCTCACTGTTCAAATAAACCTACCATTAAAATTATAGACTGATCATGTCTTTGTCAGTGGGCAAACGTACAAAATCAGCAGGGGATCAAATACTTTTTTCCCCTCACTGTAAAGTGTCAGTTCACTTTAAAAAAAATGGGAATTCATATTTAGTAGTCTTGAATTCAATACCATTTCAAAGGGGAATATGGTCTTAGAATACCAATTGCGTCAGAAGTAATTATATTTTATTTCAACAGGTTTGGATGGTTTGGTATTGAAGCGCAGGATGTTGCCAGACCGGTATTGAACTACTGTGGTGCTGGTTTGTGCTTGTTGAGGTAATGCGTCATGAAAGGACTTAATCCAATACCTTCAGAATAGTCTTCTTATTAGTCAATTTGTTCAGTATTTCAGTTAAAGATGCAGTCCAGGATCTTAAGCACAACAGATTTGTAACATATATGAATAGCGCTTTTTTTCTTGAGCAGATGGCCGGAGGCCAGAACATAATTAAAAATCATTTTTGATTGCAAATTGACCGCAAGAAGCCCAAACAGATGTAATATTTGACTAAAAACATTTGTATATGATCACATACAGTGCCTTCAGAAACTATTCATACCCCTTGACTTATTCCACATTTTGTTGTTACAGCCTGAAAATTGATTGAATTACTTTTTTTTTTCTCACTCAACTACACACAATACCCCATAATGACAAAGAGAAAACATGTTTTTAGAAATTTTAGCAAATTTATTGAAAATGAAATACAGAAATATCTCATTTAATAAGTATTCTCACCCCTGAATCAATACTTTGTAGAAGCACCTTTTGCAGAGATTACAGCTGTGAGTCTTCCTGGGTAAGTCTCTAAGAGCTTTCCACACTTGGATTGTGCAACATTTTCCCATTATTATTTTCAAAAATTCTTAGTTCCTTCAGATTGGTTGTCGATCATTGCTAGACAACCATTTTCATATCTTGCCATAGATTTTCAAGCAGATTTAAATCAAAACTGTAACTTCGCCACTCAGGAATATTGAGTGTCTTCTTGGTAAGCAACTCATGTGTTGATTTGGCCTTGTTTTAGGTTATTGTCCTGCTGAAAGGTGAATTCATCTCCCAGTGTCTGGTGGAAAGCAGAATGAACCAGGTTTTCCTCTAGGATTTTGCCTGTGCTTAGCTCCATTCCATTTCTTTTTTTATCCTGAAAAAATCCCCAGTAATGTGATACTCAGTAATGTGTTGAATTGGATTTGTCCCAAACCTAACACTTTGTATTCAGGACAAAAAGTGAATTGCTTTGCCACATTTTTTGAAGTATTACTTTAGTGCCTTGTTGCAAACAGGATGCATGCTTCCTTCTTTTCACTCTGTCATTTAGGTTAGTATTGTGGAGTAACTACAATGTAGTTGATCCATCCTCAGTTTTCTCCTATCACAGCCATTAAACTCTGTAACTGTTTTAAAGTCACCACTGAACTCATGGTTAAATCCCTGGGCGGTTTCCTTCCTCTCCGGCAACTGGGTTAGGAAGGACGCCTGTATCTTTGTAGTGACTGGGTGTATTGAAACACCATCCAAAGTGTAAATAATAACTTCACCATGCTCAAAGGAATATTCAATGTCTGCTTCTTTTATTTTTACCCATCTACCAATAGCTGCCCTTCTTTGCGAGGCATTGGAAAACCTCCCTGGTCTTTGTGGTTGAATCTGTGTTTTATATTTACTGCTCTACTGGGGGACCTTACAGATAATTGTATGTGTGGGGTACAGAGATAAGGCAGTCATTCAAACAGGGCCGGCCCCCTCATTAGGTAGGATTAGGAGCCCGCTTATGGCATTTTTCTGAGCTAAACTGACCAAGACACACCTCCAATAACACATAAACGTCACATTCTTCCCCAAAATAATGACAATTTCTTTCAACCAGTGGCATATGGGCTTTTTAGGTTTGCGCTGATGCCGCCTTATGATAAGCAGTGCCCACTTTGTCAAAGGCAGGGACACAAAATATGTATTGTCCATTCCCAGTGTGACTCTCCAGGGTGCTGTTGGAGAGCTGCATCGCTCCACCAACATTACGTCAAATAAATAATCCAACATAAACCATGTAGCAGATATAGGATATGGTGGAAAGAGTATGTGGCCTTTTCTGTAGCCAACAGGCTGGAGATAAAATGTATGACAATGTAATGAGACTGAAACATTTTAGGCTACATCCTGCAGGTTTCTCCGATCAAATTGACTAACCTAAATGGCGCCCAATCAAATAAAACATATGCTGACATGTTAACAAACATATCCTAAAAACAGGTCAAAGTAAAATGGACAATATGGAATGGACAATCAAGCAACTAACAACTGCTGTCCAGGAGTTTCATCCCTGTGGGCTAAATTGTGGTTTCAAGTTTGTATCAGTCAATGTTTTACAAGCTGATCATCGCGAAAAAGAAAATAATTCTGCATTTCCCACTGTGTAAACACATTGCAAATAGGCTCAGGATAAGTCCTCCTGATGAAGTTGGGTAGCTGATATTTAGAGCTTAAATAGCGACAGGAATCAGGACTAATAAAGCCAATCCAACGGCTTGTTTTACAAACGGTGGGCCTACCACATGGATGGGAATTCCTAAAATTCCATTGTGGGGCCGACATGGTAGGCTACACCCCAGTAAGCATGGACCCACTTCTTTTGGACACATTTATTTTTGTCTCGCCTAGGGTGGCAGAAAGGCCAGGACCTGCCCTGCATTCAAAAGTCATGTTAAACACTATTATTGCACACAGTGAGTCCTTGCAATTTATTATGTGACTTGTTAAGTACATTTTTACTCCTGAACTTATTTTGGCTTGCCATAACAAAGGGGTTGAATACATGATTCCACTTTGACATTATATTTACATTTTAGTCATTTAGCAGACGCTCTTATCCAGAGCGACTTACAGTTAGTGAATACATATTTTTTTATACTGGCCCCCCATGGGAATCGAACCCACAACCCTGGCGTTGCAAACGCCATGCTCTATCAACTGAGCTACATCCCTGCCGGCCATTCCCTCCCCTACCCTGGACGACGCTGGGCCAATTGTGCGCCGCCCATGAGTCTCCCGGTCGCGGCCGGCTACGACAGAGCCTGGATTCGAACCAGGATCTCTAGTGGCACAGTTAGCACTGCGATGCAGTGCCTTAGACTTATGGGGTATTGTGTGTAACACAACGTGGAAAAAGTCAATGGGTGTGAATACTTTCTAAAGGCATTGTAAGTCTCGCTATTATGAGTGGGAATGCATGGGAACATATTTCCTAAATTAAAATCACTTAGAGCTGATTTCCTGGTGTTTTTACAGTCTTATGTTCCCCCCTCAGAACATGGGGGGCCAAATAAAACCACCTGCAGGCCGAAGCTGCGGGCCGCCAGTTGGGGAACCCTGTCATGGGACATGGATGACGTAGTACACAAACTGGGACCTGTTTTGGCTCGCGAGCACCACATTCAAAACTACTGGATGAAATTATACAACAGCTCTGGAGTATCACTTTAATACTAGTCTAATTGAAGCTCTCATGACAATCATATGGCATTGTTTCGTTTCCAGTGGAATAATATTTTTGTTTGTGAAGACTGATGTTGGAGAACATTCCGAATCCATCCCCATACTGATTGACAGGGTCAGGGTGCTTGACATTTGGGAAGTCTAAATACTTTTGCTCAGTAATAGCCATGCAGTATCAATTCAGTTCAATTAAAAAAACTATTTATCCCAGGGGGCAATTACTTTGGACACATGTCAGACCGCAGCAACGACGACATGACAGCATACCACAAATTACATGCCACAGACAGCAACTTCACAGCAAGATAACGCATGATATAACGCCCAATACATTACCACACATAGCAGCTAATGACCGGTCTATCTAAAAAGTATGTCATGACTGTAACTGCTCTCTAGAAATATCAGTGCTACACAAACAGCACTGTAGGGTGAGTTGAATTATCAATTCTCCTGCCACCACAGGACAGACTTCTCACAACTCCAGAGATGTATTTTAAAGATTGCATTGAGATGACAGTGTGTGACTGCTGTGCTGATTTTCTTATGTACTGTACTGACGATTTTATCTGTACTTGACAGGGTGAACTCTGGTAGCTATAGGTTTTCGGTGTCCTGGGTGGATGCCATAGGACCAAAGACAAAATGCTGTGTGTGAGTACACCCCTAAATCACTCCTGTTCTCTTCACTTTCACAATGAAACAGTGTAAGCTGCTATACTGTATGGTGTGTATCATACGCTGGGACTGAAGCAGGCCTACACAGGATTTTGCAGAAGTCATGGTTAAAGTCAATTGATTTGGACATTTTCTTTATTTTTTTTTTTGACTTGACAAGGGCCTGACCTTTCTGACATTGGGCTTACTCAAGTTACTTAGTTACACGTCTTGCAATTTCCCATGCGGTCATAGAAACTCACCTCTTCCCTATGTGTAATGCTGAAGAGGGACAGGTCTCGACAGCAATGTGCTACGTTAACAAATACTTTATCATGAACCTAATGCGCTTTTAATTTTCCAATATCCTAGATCTTGACTGTGTTTGCCATATGCTGTGACATGTTCCTAACCAGCACAGTGTATTTCTCCATCTACTGTGCAGCCACGAGGAACAGACCCAGGGTGTTGTCCAGAGCCATCCTGCCAGGTGCTCAGTCTCTCCACTCAAAATGATACCCCCCGGGCATTTTAATTCTCTCCCCTTCTTGCTGAACTGTGCCCTAAATTGCTCACTCCCCCCTCCTGTATTTGAAAGTATTGGATTGATGCAATCATGGGGGTTTCTATCATAATTATTTCACGCCACCAGTCAATTCTTTTTTTAATTCATGATGGGGGTGGGTCAAGTGCTGGGTTAGAGAATTGTGCTGTTTTAGAGACTTGGGCCAGGTTTGATAATTCTATGTACAATATGATTTTATTTTGTAAAGGAGGGTGTTTCTGAATGTCTTTCTCCTGTGTTCAGGTTTTTTGTCAGGTCTGATGTTGAAATTGGCCACCTACTGCTGGTTTCTGACTAACCACTACCTTAGTCCCGTGGTCACCTTTCCCATCGTCTCTGCAGTGAGTTCACATTTGGGATGCCCCTTGACATATCATTGCTAGATGACTCATTCTTAGTGTAGCACACAGCTTGTGCTTGTGTATGTGTTTAGGTTTTGACATTGAGATTCCGTCATGTCCTCTTACAGAATATACTTTTTTTGAGAATGTGTTACCATTCCTGGTAATGGAGAACCTGACAATAGTCCTTTGCAAACGTAAGGTGTAGGTCATCCTATCTTTCAATCAACATAATTCAATCAATATTCAAAGGGTTTTCCTCTGTCCTTAGGATTATGGTCTAATCACAGCTCTGTACGGAAGTCTGGTTTTCAAAGACGTCAAAGTAAGTATCCCGGCGTGAACACATTTTAATGAATCGATTGGTCTAAGAAACTGCCTCAGCTCCTGGGAACAAGGCACACTTGACAATTGCTGAAATTGAAGTATGAACTTTCTCAACCCTTTATGTAATTTTGCAGACAGACAAAATCAACCTCCCCTTCGATTTTCTGCCCTAATTTCGCTGTGCTGATAGAGTACATTTGTTCAATCTGCCCAGCCCATTCCTTTTGACACCAACTGATTCAGAGTACTATCATCTAATTCAGTTCTGATTAGCTCGCCCCAGGCTAGATATTTTGAGACTTCTCTCTGATTACGCTCCCGTTTTCAACACAATTCCACTCGCTCATCGATACCCTAAAGCACGATTTCCCCAACTCGGTCCTGGGCCTCCCCCCGGGTGCACATTTGGTTTTTGCCCTAGTACTACACAGCTGATTCAAATAATCAAAGCTTGATGGTGAGTTGGTTATTTGAATCAGCTGTGTAGTACTAGGGCAAAAACCAAACTATGCACCCAGGGTGGGCCCCAGGACCGAGTTTGGGGAAACGCTGCCCTAAAGTGTGCCACCCCAATTTGACACTGTGTTTCTGGTGTGACATGCCATCAGATATTTGTGGTGTTAACTAATGCTTGTCTCTTTTCAGGGCCTGGTAAACTGCTTCATCTTCATAGTAGCCTCCTGTGTTGTCCTGACTGGATCACTGCTGACGGCCTTCTCCAAGGTGTAGTGGAACACTCAATACACCACTAGGTGGCAACGTTATACAGGAATGGCCCTCCTGGAGGAGGCCTGGGGTGTATTCAGTGAGGTGAAATGTTCTGAATGTTGCCGATTGAAAAGTAATGGACAGAACCAATTCACAGTCCCCTATTCTTCTACCTCAGACGATCATATCTGTTCTAAATAATAATAATAATAATAATAATAATAATAATAATAATTATTATTATTATTATTATTATAATTTAAAAAACACCCTCTGAACAGGGCCCTGGATGGTGATGTCTCTGATAGTCCTTCAGTTTTGTCAGTTTTGAACCTGTTCAAATAGGGTTCAGATGTTGCTGCTACTCGCTCTTCTGTTGTCATGTTTTAAATCACTCTCAATAGTTGAATTCAATGGCATTCAGAATATTTTTTGAGGGAAGATGTATTTATAACTTCCACAATGTTTATACAGTGCTGAAATCAATTTGTGGTGTTGTCTGTGGCACTTTGCTATGAAATTGAGCTAAAGTTGATGTAATATGAAATGTGAAAAACTATGAACTTGAAATGTTAAAATCCTAATATTTAGAACATGTTTGAATAAAATACCTGACAACCACATGTTTTTGAGCACTTCATTTTTTAAGGGAAACTGGTAGAGAAAGCAGTAACCCTAATTGGTGTGCTAATCTACTGCATCAAATTTCAAAAAGACTACTTTCCATATGCACAAAAAGCTTATTTCTCTCCTTTTGTGCACAAATTTGTTTACATCCCTGTTAATGAGCATTTCTTCTTTGCCAAGATAATCCATCCACCTGACAGGTGTGGCATATCAAGAAGCTGATTAAACAGCATGACCATTACACAGGTGCCACTTTGTGCTGTTGACAATAAAAGGCCACTCTAAAATGTGCAATTTTATAACACAACACAATGCCACAGATGTCTCATGTCTTGAGGGAGCGTGCAATTGGCATGCTGACGGCAGGAATGTCTAACAGAGCTGTTGCCAGATAATTTAATGTTCATTTCTCTACCATAAGCCACCTCCAACATCGTTTTAGGGAATTTGGCAGTACATCCAACCGGCCTCTCAACCGCAGCCCAGGAACTCCAAATCCAGCTCTCAAGTGGGTGGGCCTTTCCCTCCTAGGCCCACCCATGGCTGTACCCCTGCCCAGTCATGTGAAATCCATAAATTAGGGCTGAATGAATATATTTCAATTGACTGATTTCCTTCTATGAACTGTAATTCAGTAAAATCTTTGAAATTGTTGCATGTTGCCTTTTTATATTTTTGTTCAGTATAGTTTGAAGTGGAACTTGGGGGAGTGAATCTGATTATTTCTCTGTTAAACTTAATGCATGGAATAGTTGGTTATACAGTGGGGGAAAAAAGTATTTAGTCAGCCACCAATTGTGCAAGTTCTCCCACTTAAAAAGATGAGAGAGGCCTGTAATTTTCATCATAGGTACACGTCAACTATGACAGACAAAATGAGGGAAAAAAATCCAGAAAATCACATTGTAGGATTTTTAATGAATTTATTTGCATATTATGGTGGAAAATAAGTATTTGGTCACCTACAAACAAGCTGGGACCAAAGTAACAAAGCCTACCATCAGTAACACACTACGCCGCCAGGGACTCAAATCCTGCAGTGCCAGACGTGTCCCCCTGCTTAAGCCAGTACATGTCCAGGCCCGTCTGAAGTTTGCTAGAGTGCATTTGGATGATCCAGAAGAGGATTGGGAGAATGTCATATGGTCAGATGAAACCAAAATAGAACTTTTTGGTAAAAACTCAACTCGTCGTGTTTGGAGGACAAAGAATACTGAGTTGCATCCAAAGAACACCACACCTACTGTGAAACATGGGGGTGGAAACATCATGCTTTGGGGCTGTTTTTCTGCAAAGGGACCAGGACGACTGATCCGTGTAAAGGAAAGAATGAATGGGGCCATGTATCGTGAGATTTTGATTGAAAACCTCCTTCCATCAGCAAGGGCATTGAAGATGAAACGTGGCTGGGTCTTTCAGCATGACAATGATCCCAAACACACCGCCCGGGCAACGAAGGAGTGGCTTCGTAAGAAGCATTTCAAGGTCCTATGGTGGCCTAGCCAGTCAACAGATCTCAACCCCATAGAAAATCTATAAATAAATTCATTAAAAATCCTACAATGTGATTTTCTGGAATTGTTTTCCTCATTGTCTGTCATAGTTGACGAGTACCTATGATGAAAATTACAGGCCTCTCTCATCTTTTTAAGTGGGAGAACTTGCACAATTGGTGGCTGACTAAATACTTTTTTTCCCCACTGTAGTTACCCTTGAATAGAAGGTGAATCATGCTTTTTTTCACTCTTTGCTTCCAAATCCACAATGGGTTTTTATTCAAATGTAAAAGAACAGGACATGATGAATACTAATGACATTTTAGGGTATATGACGATGGGTCTTTTTTGTACGTTTGTTAGATTGTGATGAATCAAGGAATAAAATACTTCAGAATCTGTGTAGATATAGCGGCCATCTCTAGGCTACTTTTGACTAAGACCCCAGGGACAGCCTATTGTTCTCAGCTTTAATCCTAGGATTAAAGTTCCCTCTGTGTATTCATTATGTAAATTATCATTTATTAGTAATGAGTTTGAAAAATAACTTGCATGACCTTCTTTCAAAACATCCCAGCTAATTGTGAGATGTGTACATCAGGACAACAGACATTGTTTGATGCTTTACCACTGGGACAAAGGGGTTGATCCTGAAATAACCTGTGGCTATAGTGGGGTGTCAGGATATAGAATAATGTACGTATAGTGGCCATGTACTTAGTGGAGTCGAAATTAATTAACTTAATTTGCAGATATTCTCACACCTCAAATTGATGGCTTTTATTGACTGTTTAGCATTTTTTTAAATATGAAAGGGCTCAAGTTCTTTGGGACATTCGCATTAAGTGTCCCTGCACATACAGTGCATTCGGAACATATTCAGACCACTTGACTTTTTCCACATTGTGTTAAGTTACAGCCTTATTCTAAAATGGATTAAATTGTTATTTCCCTCCCCCCCCCCCCCTTCAATCTACACACAATACCCCATAATGACAAAGCAAAAACAGGTTTTTTTGGAATGTTTGCAAATGTATTAAAAATAAAAAACAGAAATCACATTTACATAAGTATTCAGACCCTTTACTCAGTACTTTGTTGAAGCACCTTTGGCAGCGATTACAGCCTCAAGTCTTTTTGGGTAAGACGCTACAAGCTTGGCCCACCTGTATTTGGAGAGTTTCTCCCATTATTTTCTGCAGATCCTCTAAAGCTCTGTCAGGTTAGATGGGGAGCGTCGCTGCACAGCTATTTTCAGGTCTCTCCAGAGATGTTCGATCGGGTTCAAGTCCAGGCTCTGGCTGGGCCACTCAAAGACATTCAGAGACTTGTCCGAAGCCACTCCTGCGTTGTCTTGGCTGTGTGCTTAGGGTCGTTGTACTGTTGTAAGGATAACCTTCGCCCCACTCTGAGGTCCTGAGCACTCTGGAGCAGGTTTTCATCAAGGATCTCTCTGTACTCTGCTCCGTTCATCTTTCCCTTTTCTTGGACACCTCCCTGACCAAGGCCCTTCTCCCCTGATTGCTCAGTTTGGCCAAGCCGCCAGCTCTAGGAAGAGTCTTGGTGGTTCCAAACTTCTTCCATTTTAAGAACGATGTTCTTGCGGACCTTCAATGCTGCAGACATTTTATGGTACCCTTCCCCAGATCTGTGCCTCGACACAATGCTGTCTCGAATTCCTTCGACCTCATGGCTTGGTTTTTGCTCTGACATGCACTGTCAACTGTGGGACCTTATATAGACAGGGGTGTGCCTTTCCAAATCATGTCCAATCAATTGAATTTACCACAGGTGGACTCCAATCAAGTTGTAGAAACATCCCAAGGATGATCAATGGATACAGGATGCACCTGAGCTAAATTTCGAGTCTCATAGCAAAGGGTCTGAATACTTGTGTAAATAAGGTATTTCTGTTTTAATTTGTAATAAATGTACAAAAATGTCATAAAACCTGTTTCGCTTTGTCATTATGGGGTATTGTGTGTGTGTGTGTGTGTGTGTAGAGGAAAAAACATTATTTAATCAATTTTGGAACAAGGCTGTGATGTAACAGAATGTGGAAAACGGAAAGGGGTCTGAATACTTTCCGAATGCACTGTATAGTCCCAACTCTGAGATATCACGTACAGCCCCAACTCTGATTGCCACATTTTATATCAGTTTTGAATTATTGTCCTGGGGACCCAAAGGGATGCACAGTTTTGGCCCTAGCATTAACACAGCTGATTCCGCTAATCAACTCCTTATCAAAACTTTGATTAGTGGAATCTGGTGTGTAGTGCTTGGGCAAAAACAAAACTGTGCAAAACTGCATCCCAAGGACCAGGATTAAAAAATACTGAGGTAAATCAACATAAATCCGTTAAGCAGATTAAAACTGAGCCCACACACTTGTTATAGTGTAGTTTAATGAGATTGTTAGAGCCATTTTGATGTAAGAAAGAAAATGTATTGAACTTATTTTGGTTGATTTATTAAAGATATAGAAATGTATAGAAAATTCTTATTGTAGCGGAATGTATGGAAACTGTTCATTATAGTAAATATGCATATTTATATACCTCTTATGGTGGACACCTATGGTTTACCTCTAAGAACCGAGCATTAAGGTTTATTGGTAAAGACGGGGTCAGTAGCACGAATTAGGACAGGTGGTTGTAACCTGAGGAGTTGGAAGATGCCATGTAGAGTTACAATTTTCTACAGTTTAAATTGTTTTATATTATACCATTTATATTGTGTCATTTGGATTGCTAACTTATTATTTTTTGTACCTTTTGGATTATACATTTCTGCCATTGATATCAATTGGAATAATGAGTAATAAATATAATTTAACTGGAACAATAACCTCTCATCTCATCTATGCAGCAAGATGCATTTCGCAACTTTGGTGTA